AACAAACTTTGTAAAATCTCTTTATGTATGTACCTTACCTAAATAAAAATTATTATTATTATTATTATTATTATTATTATTATTATTATTATATGTGCTGCCATTCTATTGTATGGTGTTTATAAATCTTGTTTATCTGTATCTTTTGCTACCCAGTCTCCCAATCTTTATGTACCCATTCTGAACATCTTTACCATTGTGATCATTGCTGTCTTATATGTGCTGTCAACCTGCTGTATGGTGTCTATTAATCTTGTTTAAATTACTAATCAAGCTGTCAATGTAATCAATCAGAGCTTTAATATAACAATATGCTTTAATATACTTACTTATCTCTCTCTCATCTCATTTTTCTCTTGTAATGTATCTTTCATTTATCAATTCTGATTGAAATTACCTACTTAAAATTATCTGCTAGATTAAGGACCTGCCCGAAACGCTGCGCGTACTAGTGGCTTTACAAGAATGTAATTACTGTACTATCCAATGTATTCTCACAAACCCAATGTACCTTCTTGTATATATATAAATAAATAAATAAATAAATAAATAAATAATGGTTTTTACGATGGATAAGAGGCTATCCAACAGGAAGTCATCTGTACTGTTCCAAGGGCATAGGAGTGCAACAAGAGATTTTGAACTTGGCACTCCACAGGGAGGTGTCCTCAGTCCTACTCTGTTCAATGTGTTAATCAATGCATTTTTAAACTCAGTAACTAGGAGCCCAAGCGAACACATCATTAGCTATGCGGATGATATACTGATCCACACCAATGGGTATACAAACACCCAAAATGTTCTGAACTCTGTATTGCACACATGTCAGGAACTAGGCTTGGTCATCTCAGTAGAGAAAACAAAGATCCTGAACCAACGCCCACCCAGACGGGGTGGGGCCGTTCGCAAAATGCAGTTGCATGATGGCTCTGCTCGACTATGTAACCAGATACAAATACCTTGGTCTTGAAGTTCCACTGTACCTCAATGTTGTAGCCAGAATTGGTCGCCAATGTAGAGAGAGGCTCCGTATACGTATATATATATGTACATGTATGTTTGAGGGTGTGTACATGTGTATACAGCATTGATAATTTTGTAACTAGCGTTAAACATTGTTATTTGCTTAGCTAAACGAACTAGAGGGTTCCGTTCCTGAACCGATTATGTGCCTCTGTAATCCTTTACACCACCGCCCACGGGATGGGTATGGGATGCATAATAAAGAAAAAAATTGAATTGGCATGTCTAGATCTGCCCAAAACCTGCCTATTTATCTTTACCATTTACCAATAATAATATTAATAGTTTATATATATATATATATATATATATATATATATATATATATATATATATATATATACCTAGTATATACTAGTAGTCAGAACTCACTTCTCAGCCTACTATGCAAGGCCCGATTTGCCTAATAAGCTAAGTTTTCATGAATTAATAGTTTTTCGACAACCTAACCTACCTAACCTAACCTAACCTACCTTTTTGGGCTACCTAACCTAACCTAACCTATAAAGATAGGTTAGGTTAGGTTAGGTTGGGTTGGTTAGGTTCGGTCATATATCTACGTTAATTTTAACTCCAATAAAAAAAATTAACCTCATACATAATGAAATGGGTAGCTTTATCATTTCATAAGAAAAAATTTAGAGAAAATATATTAATTCAGGAAAACTTGGCTTATTAGGCAAATCGAGCCATGCATAGTAGGCTGAAAAGTGCGTTCTGGCTACTAGGTACGACATATATATATATATATATATATATATATATATATATATATATATATATATATATATATATATATATATATATATATATATATATATATATAAACTAGATTCTAGATTATAAATATATATATGTATATATATATATATATATATATATATATATATATATATATATATATATATACATATATATATATATGTATACATATATATATATATATATATATATATATATATATATATATATATATATATATATATATATATATATATATATATATATATATATATATATATATATATATATATATATATATATATATATATATATATATATATATATATATATATATATATATATATATATATATATATATATATATATATAATATATAAGCCTATACTTGCATAAACCACAAGTGAAGATTAATAATCTTTGGACAACACCCACCAGTGGGACTCGAACCCAGAAAGCACAACTACCTTCCAGTAGCTGCCATAACTAGTATGCTTTAACCCACTACACCATCAGACCCTACAAAAGAAGTAGAGACTTCGAGATATATATACATCTCAAATATCTCCACTTCCCGAGGGCACCAGATAAGTGTGAGGTTAGTCTGCATTTTTCGTCAATCCACTGTCAATGTGAGAGAACTCGTGTCCAGCTTATAAGCCTATACTTGCATAAACCACAAGTGAAGATTAATAATCTTTGGACAACACCCACCAGTGGGACTCGAACCCAGAAAGCACAACTACCTTCCAGTAGCTGCCATAACTAGTATGCTTTAACCCACTACACCATCAGACCCTACACCATCAGACCCTACAAAAGAAGTAGAGACTTCGAGATATATATACATCTCAAATATCTCCACTTCCCGAGGGCACCAGATGAGTGTGAGGTTAGTCTGCATTTTTCTTCAAGCCAATGTCAATCAAAGAGAACTCGTGTCCAGCTTATAAGCCTATACTTGCATAAACCACAAGTGAAGATTAATAATCTTTGGACACCACCCACCAGTGGGAGTCGAACGCAGAAAGCACAACTACCTTCCAGTAGCTGCCATAACTAGTATGCTTTAACCCACTACACCATCAGACCCTACAAAAGAAGTAGAGACTTCGAGATATATATACATCTCAAATATCTCCACTTCCCGAGGGCACCATATGAGTGTGAGGTTTGAGATGTATATATATCTCGAAGTCTCTACTTCTTTTGTAGGGTCTGATGGTGTAGTGGGTTAAAGCATACTAGTTATGGCAGCTACTGGAAGGTAGTTGTGCTTTCTGGGTTCGAGTCCCACTGGTGGATGTTGTCCAAAGATTATTAATCTTCACTTGTGGTTTATGCAAGTATAGGCTTATAAGCTGGACACGAGTTCTCTCACATTGACAGTGGCTTGACAAAAAATGCAGACTAACCTCACACTCATCTGGTGCCCTTGGGAAGTGGAGATATTTGAGATGTATATATATCTCGAAGTCTCTACTTCTTTTGTAGGGTCTGATGGTGTAGTGGTTTAAGCATACTAGTTATGGCAGCTACTGGAAGGTAGTTGTGCTTTCTGGGTTCGAGTCCCACTGGTGGGTGTTGTCCAAAGGTTATATATATAATATATATATATATATATATATATATATATATATATATATATATATATATATATATATATATATTTATATATATATATATATATATATATATATATATATATATATATATATTTCATTGAATATGACCGCATATTCTGTATTTATTATTTTCTGGTTTAGGGCTTCTATCCCTCTAACTATTTTCTTAGCATCAGGGCTTAATTGAATTTAAGTTAAGCCCTGATGCTAAGAAAATAGTTAGAGGGATAGAAGCCCTAAACCAGAAAATAATAAATACAGAATATGCGGTCATATTCAATGAAACATGTTTGAAAGAAAACCTGCTGCCAGTATACACCAATATATATATATATATATATATATATATATATATATATATATATATATATATATATATATATATATATATATATATATATATATATATATATATATATATATATATATATATATATATATATATATATATATATATAATATATATATATATAATATAATAACACTATTATATATAATATATAATATAATATATAATATAATATATATTATATATAAAATATAATATATATATATATATATATAATATATATATATATATATATATATATATATATATATATATATATATATATATATATATATATATATAATATATATATATATATATATATAATATATATATATATATATATATATATATATATATATATATATATATATATATATATATATATATATATATATATATATATATATATATATATATATATATATATATATATATATATATATATATATATATATATATATATATATATAAATTATATATATATATATATGTATATATATATATATATATTTATATGTATATATTCCTGTTATATGGGAAAACTCAGTGCCAAATGCTTAATGCACAGACTACCCTATTCCAGTAGCTGAAGTTTATAACTTTTTAGACACTCAACCCACCAGGGGACTCGAACACTGGCCAACAAGGTGGCAGTTGCATGCTGTATCCACTACACTATACTTCAAAGCCATAAGAGAGGTAGGAATTCTGGGGTATTTAACCAACCAGAACTCCAATCCTCTCCCAGGCAATGAGATAGTGTGGGACCTCGGATGCTCTTTCATCGGTTCCTGTTATATGGGAAAACTCAGTGCCAAATGCTTAATGCACAGACTACCCTATTCCAGTAGCTGAAGTTTATAACTTTTTAGACACTCAACCCACCAGGGGACTCGAACACTGGCCAACAAGGTGGCAGTTGCATGCTGTATCCACTACACTATACTTCAAAGCCATAAAGAGAGGTAGGAATATATATATATATATATATATATATATATATATATATATATATATATATATATATATATATATATATATATATATATATATATATTATATATATGTAACCGAGGCAGTGGTGCCAGCTGTCTAATAATCACTAAAATTCTATAAAACATAAAGTGAATAGTGTTTCGTTAATAATGATAAAATAATTCTGAGTAATTTAATATGAATAAAAATTTCAATAAAAACAGACATTTTACATATCTAATGAAATAAAAATGATTATTTAAGGTTCGGAATTTGAGAGAGTAGGAAGATTGTGTGTGCTAGAGACAGGTGGCAGCCTTGATGAACCAAGGTGATAGCTGGCAGTGGCACGCAGTACCGCACTACACGGCCTGTACCAGTACCGCAGTACACGGCCTGCACCAGTACCGCACTACACGGCCTTCACCAGTAGCGCACTACACGCCCTGATAGTAACACATGTACGGCTACGACCACAGCCTCTGCGAATATCAACCTTACAAGTAAATAAGAAGGTGTCTGCAAATGTTCCTGATCAGCCAGACCAACAGACATCCTTTTCTCAGAGCGGGGTACAGGTAGGTGCCCAGACCAACTGACATCCTCCTCTCAGAGCGGGGTACAGGTAGGTGCCCAGACCAACTGACATCCTCCTCTCAGAGCGGGGTACAGGTAGGTGCCCAGACCAACTGACATCCTCCTCTCAGAGCGGGGTACAGGTAGGTGCCCAGACCAACTGACATCCTCCTCTCAGAGCGGGGTACAGGTAGGTGCCCAGACCAACTGACATCCTCCTCTCAGAGCGGGGTACAGGTAGGTGCACACGAGTGGACAATCTTAGTCATGCTCATGTTTGTTTATAACCTTGATAACCCGAGGTAGTGGCGCCATGGACAAAGGCATAACAGTGGGACGTGCGAGGTTTAACTCCCGCTAGTAATATAATTGACTTAGTTTACGTAATTTATTATGCTACTTATACCATAGCAGTGCGCGGTAGTGCACAAGAGTTCAGAGGCATATAATGGGCGCAGAAATTTAACCAACAAATCTTTAAAGTTAATCAAATTTGATCATTGATGAGCTAGTTACATATAGTTTGCTATATGACACTACGAGAAATTTCCTTGTAATGTTATTATAATAATTATAAAACACTATTATGATACTATGTTTTTAAGTTGTTTAGGTATTTAGCTTATTTCTGGATGCGGCATCTTAATACATTCCTGAGATTAGGAAACTATGTGTGTATACTGCCACCATTTCTTTAGATGGGATGCTTGTATTACGATCATAACTATAATGGTCAAAACGCCAAATATTATACAACAATCCTTGTTAGCAATGTACCAGCAAAATCACCATCATCAATCAATAATTACTTCATAAATGAGATAACTAAGAAAACACCACGATGACTTAAGTACCCTACTGCATGCAATCAATTATAATTCTTTCTGTATTTCAAACAGAAGCATGGCTAGAAGATAACTTAACCTAACGATTGAACATGCGAAGTTACGCTACCATCCATAACTAGACCAAACCACGTATGCGTCAATGACTGCAATCTTATCTGGTTGAGCGGGAGCAGTATGTTACTGTGAATGATATAACTTCTCCTACACTGTGAAGCAACAGTTGAGTTTATCTCTTATCGTATATAACAATGACCCTCTAATGCAATTTTTAGCCAATAATTGCTTCTGATGATGCAACATACAGATGCAGTAAATCTGTACTTAAAATAGTCCATATGTGGCTGACTAACAAATTCACCTTTACATCGAGAAGACATATCATATGTTATTGAGAAATAAAACTTTCATTGAAATAAAACTGTGAATAAACAGTTTTCAAATAGAAAGAAAACCAGAAGAAAAATTCTTTGGCATTCACACTAACACAAAACTGAACTTTTTACACCAAAACAAAAATACAACAAAATAAGGACCTGAAGCTCTTAGCGTTCTCGCCCATAATCTGACACTGGGTAACTCGCTCTAACCTGATAACACAATCTTTCACTTATCTATCCATATCTCACCTGAAAATCAGTAATTAGAACAATAGCAAACTTGAACTACACGCAATATGTCGAACCCGTAAAAAAAAATCCTTAAACATTCTTTATATAAATAAAAAGCAACGTACACACTATCAAGCATTCTCTGGATCCTTAAAATCCTGAGGAGCATTACTAATCTTGACTTGAAGCTCTTTGATTGAGAGGTATAGCATAATACGTAGACACTATACGAAAACAAATATATACTCGATATTACAGCCCATACTCCTATTTTGGTAGTACTTATAATAACGATGAGGACCATGGTATATATACCGACGAACAACGAAATTAGAAAGAAGAAATCGGCTCTATTGAGTTGGACAAACCAAAAAATTAACTTTTACTTGTGTTTCAGAGACAAACTAAAAACCTAACCTAACATTCCTATCTTGAGGTCATCTTGAGTTGATTTCGGGGCTTTAGTGTCCCCGCGGCCCGGTCCTTGACCAGGCCTCCACCCCCAGGAAGCAGCCCGTGACAGCTGACTAACACCCAGGTACCTATTTACTGCTAGGTAACAGGGGCATTCAGGGTGAAAGAAACTTTGCCCATTTGTGTCTGCCTCGTGCGGGAATCGAACCCGCGCCACAGAATTACGAGTCCTAGGCCTAATACACGATATCTGAAGCCTAATATAGTACATATGTATGCTATACTAGGCCTAGGAACTAGGAATATTTAAGTTTGTTTTTAGCCTCTTTTTTTTTAATTCCTTACTAGTCAGTATACTACGTTCTAAAAACTATGTGCAGTCGAATTCGTGATTATTGACGATCATCACAATATGTATTATCTAAACAGGAAGATGGGTTGTGATATTTCAGGAGTTTGATTCAACAAAAGTAAATATGCCATGCAGATAAATAGTGGATGGACCTCCAAAATGCAATAAAATGTACTTCTTTTAAGTAAATTAAAAAAGTACACAAATGAATACGTAATTATCACTGCAGGTGTTTATATAAATACCTCATTATGTAGCATTATTCTCGCATATTTCTCCTCCCTAATTATTACTTATTGTTTTTTCTCTTCTTCGAAGAGTTATGTACAGTAAATGTATTGTAAGAGCAGTTACAACTAAACCTACTGAAAGAAAAATAAAGATGTCTATATTGTATATCATTAACAGAAAGCTGTTGATCACTAGCAAAACTTAAAATATAATAAATAGTAAATCAATGTACTTTTGCAAGTGTATGGTGCAATGTCTAAAGCTATATTGCCAAACTGTCCACAAAGATTTTTTGAAGCTTATGAAATCCTAAATAAAAATAAAAATTTACACTGCACCAAAGCAGCCAAATCGAATGCCATTGTAATTTGAACCATAGATGACTATATAGACAAAATTGACTACCTGCTTAGTTTGTTTTAAAGCTGAAGTTTGTTTTGATGCTTAGATCAGTTTACACATAAGAGAGCATTTATACCTACCGTATATATTACATGCCATAACACACCTTGCACTATGCTTGGAACTGAAGCGTGTACCGGCGTGGAATATCGGACAACAGAGGCATTGGATACTTCACACGAAAATTTGCACATGGACACGGACTAAGAAAACAGCAAGTGAACAAATCCACAAGGACCGTGACGAGGATACCTGCGTCCGAGAGCATCCCAGACGCTGCCTTAATTGACTGAGCTACGACATGGTCAAAAGGAGTTGAAACCGAAGTTCTACTGAACTTACTGGATCCTGCAGCCTCTCCCGAGGCACAAACCAGAATTTTACACAACTCCCCCCATACACTCGAGCTATGTTCATAGACCGTTCTCCCTCTTCGCCCTTACTTCATTACACACAGAAATCACAATTGCATGATGCATCAAAGGAACAAATCCGCAAGGGCCGTGACGAGGATTCGAACCTGCACCCGAGAGCAGCAGACGCAGAGTATCGTGAACATCGATTAAGATGCTCCGAGCACCGAGAGCATCGATTAAGGCAGCGTCTGGGATGCTCTCGGACATAGGTTCGAATCCTCGTTACGACCCTTGTGGATTTGTTCATTTGATGCACCACGCAATTGTGATTTCTGTGTGTAAAACAGCAAGTCATTAGGGGAGAATGAGTGTCAGGAAGTGTTAACTAGGGGAAAGAGAAAATGGAAAAAAGGAGGCAAAGTGTAGACAGAGATAGTGAAAAAGAAACGACAAGAGACTCAAGAACAACGCTGAGTCATTGGAGAACGATCAAACCCGTGTCGACGCCAGGAGAGAACCGACTCTGGAACTTGCCCAGGAATGTGACAGTCAGCAGAAGTGGAGGCGTCTCTTCCCTACATCATGCACACTGATCTACTACCAGAAGATTCTGTGGACAGTCAACCTGCGACCTAACTTAACAGACTATTCATAACAGAAGATTCTATGGAGGCTGTTGAGTTCCTGAGCCAGCAACGGCATCGAGGACTTGTTATGGTAACACGAGAGAACAAGACACTGACGAAGGTGATTATTTATCAAAACCCTCAAATTCTGGACCCCGAATTCTTCCTCGACGACCAACGATTTGTTTGGGCCTAGCATCATCTAGTTACAGATGAAGCAAGGAATTGGATAGTGCCTTAAATGAGATGAAAAGTTCCAGAAAAAAAATTAGTTGATGAGGCAGGCTACAGGCATGTGACAAAAGTATGTGAAAGAGCCAATAATATAGTGCCCCACCAAAGTATGAGGTGGGGCAGGAAGGGTTTTGGAGTGTAGTGGGGCATGAAGGATGTAAGGATCAAGAAAGATGTAGTGGTGTGTCGTGGGACAAGAATGATGTTGGGGTGTGTGGTGGAGCAAGAAGGTGTAGGGGTGTGTGGTGGGGCAAGAAGGTGTAGGGGTGTGTGTTGGAGCAAGAAGGTGTAGGGGTGTGTGGTGGGGCAAGAAGGTGTAGGGGTGTGTGGTGGAGCAAGAAGGTGTAGGGGTGTGTGTTGGAGCAAGAAGGTGTAGGGGTGTGTGGTGGGGCAAGAAGGTGTAGGGGTGTGTGGTGGGGCAAGAAGGTGTAGGGGTGTGTGGTGGAGCAGGAAGGTGTAGGGGTGTGTGGTGGGGCAAGAAGGTGTAGGGGTGTGTGGTGGAGCAGGAAGGTGTAGGGGTGTGTGGTGGAGCAGGAAGGTGTAGGGGTGTGTGGTGGGGCAAGAAGGTGTAGGGGGTGTGTGGTGGGGCAAGAAGGTGTAGGGGTGTATGGTGGGGCAAGAAGGTGTAGGGGTGTGTGTTGGAGCAAGAAGGTGTAGGGGTGTGTGTTGGAGCAAGAAGGTGTAGGGGTGTGTGGTGGGGCAAGAAGGTGTAGGGGTGTGTGGTGGGGCAAGAAGGTGTAGGGGTGTGTGGTGGAGCAAGAAGGTGTAGGGGTGTGTGGTGGGGAAAGAAGGTGTAGGGGTGTGTGGTGGGGCAAGAAGGTGTAGGGGTGTGTGTGGTGGAGCAAGAAGGTGTAGGGGTGTGTGGTGGAGCAAGAAGGTGTAGGGGTGTGTGGTGGGGCAAGAAGGTGTAGGGGTGTGTGGTGGGGCAAGA